CCAAGATGCTATAAAGCCTCCATCGGCAAGCCTTCGTCCCTCCTCCGCCTGGCACAACGGGCAGCGCCGTCACTCTGGAGAGTGGGGGGTCGGGGCTCCCAAAACCTCTGAGCCCGGCTTGCTGTATGCATTTTATAGATCCATAATAACAGCATCATATGTACTGGGGGGGGTGTGGAGGGTTTAGCTGCAATAGTAGCAGTGTTTATAAGTATTATAAATCATCATCAGAATCATCCATACTGCAATTAAACTTTCAGGATAATAGGGAGAAGGACTGGGATACTGCAAAAATCAGTTGTTGTCCTGTCTTGAGCCCAGAGGACAACTGAGCACCTCACTCCATCCCCCTCAGGAATGGGAAGGAGGAAATAAAACAAAAGGCTCGGGAATTGAGATAAGGACAGGGAAGAACTCACCCATTACGGTCACAAAAGGACAGATTCCTTAGGGGAAGAAAAAAGAACAATTTCATTTAAATACCACCATTTAATGTAACAATCAAACACAGTAGGACAGTGAGAAGTATACACACATCTTAAAAACACCTTTCCCCACCCCTCCCTTCTTCCTCACTCTCAGCTTCCTCAGATTTCTCCACCTCCTCCCACACAGTGGCACAGGGAACAGGGACTAGAGGTTTTGTCAGTTCATCACCCATAGTCTCTGCAGGTCCTTCCTCCTCAGGGAGAGGACTCCTCGCACTCTCCTCCTGCTCCAGCGTGGGGTCCCTCTCAGAAGAGACAGTTCTCCACGACCTTTCTCTGATATGAGTCCTTCCCACGGGCCGCAGCCGTCCCCACGTTGCCCTGGCGTGGGTCACCCCCGCACGTTGCAGTCCTCCCAGCACTGAACCACAACAGCGGGAGCCGCTTCTCCCCTCAGAGTCCCGGCCTCCTTTGGGTACAGCCGCCTGCTCCAGCGTGAGCTCCTCCATCGGCCGCAGGTCGGCATCTGCTCCACTGGTGACCTCCATGGGTGGCAGGGTGGGCGGCCTTGCCCTCTCACCATGGGATACAAGGGGGTCTCTGCTCCAGTGTACCCCGGCCCCTTCCTCCTCCTTTCTTCCACTGACCTGGGTGTTCACATAGGAGGTGTCCTCCTCGCAACTCCCTCTCGCAAGTCCCAACCCCATCTCAGGTTCCCCTTCTTAAATAAGTTATTGCAGAGGCGCAGTCAGCGTCGCTAATTGGCTCGGCCCTGGCCAGAGGTGGGGCCAACTTGGAGCTGGGGGAGCTTCAAGAAGCTTCTCACAGGGGGCCACCGCTGCGGCCCCCTCCCCTGCTACCAAAACCCCTGCCACACAAAACCAACACAGTTGTTAATCATCGTCTTCTCAAATTGGGGAAAAGCATTTCAGAGACTTACACCCCCAGGCTCTGCTTCAGCAAAGCACCTGTGCATGGTGTGCATGCTCACCGGTCGAACTCCCAAGGCTATTTCATCCCTAAAGATACAGCAGGGAGCCTGGCAGAAGTTTGTTGTGGGATGGGAAGGTCCAAAAGCACCTAAGCCAGTTCAGCACCTAACTCCCTGTGTGGTCAGTGGGATTTTAGGCATCTGTTTGCACATCCAGGCCCTTAGATATACTCAAAACATCTAATCTGTGGTTAATGGGGGCTAACATGAGGGGGACAGGGTGAAGTGGAGGATGTGTTCCCTGTAAGAGCAGGCACTGGCTGCTTGCCTCCTCGTTTTGGTGAGGAGACTAGGATCTGAGCACACTCCTTAAAATCAGAGCTCGCCCAATCCGGTGAGGGAGCAAGCCCAGAAAGATTACTTCCAGCACCTCCTAGATTTTCAGAATATCCCTTTCTATTTTGGGGGGGTCCTGTCAAACCTCCACACAATGGAGTGGGCTTGCCAGGAGGAGCAAGTGAGGAGACCGGAGGCAGCGATTTCCCCTCAGCTCTATCCACAGCTCCTGCTCACACTGATGGGACTTACCCCAGGTGGTGGAGAAGAGCCTGGTGCCCATATCAGGATCAGCCCCGGCTGGACGGACACACAGCGTCACATCAGCTGCAATGTACAGGAGTAACCCCTCAAAAGGAAAATGATTTGAAATTAGGCAAACAGGAGAACGGCTTCCAAAAGGCATGAAAATTATCTTGTTTCATGCTTAGAATAACCCCATTACCACAATATCCTGAATGAATTATGCTAAACTTCCCATGCACAAACACACATGAAAAAAAAAAAAAAAAATCCCCCTTTGGGCTACTTAACAACAGTGAAAAATTTCAGAAGGGGAAGCTCCTGAAAAGAGGGAATTTGAATAAAAAATTTCCTCTGGAACATAACTACAAAGTGGATATCATCACGCTTTGATATTTATAATGGCAGTCGTTCTCCTCATTGTGAAATACATTTCTTTTGTACCAGAAAATTTTTGAAAAATGCTTAATAACTATTATGGCTATTGAGACTGACTTCTCGGCTTCACTTGCACATATTGTGTATTAGGAAACTACTCAAATTAAGACCTTTTTGAGACACTGATCAATACAGCAGCTAGGAAGGCCAGGAGAAAAAAATAAAAGCAGCTTGGAGAAGGAAAATTATTTCCTCCTGGCAAGGGAGGGTTATTTATTGTAAATGCAGACGGAAGTAGCTTACGCTGCTTTATGAAAAATTATGTTTGTGTCTTAACATTTCCTATCCGAGACCATAGCTGGTAGATTTGCACCCAGGCAAGGTGCCCGTAGAGGTAATCGCACTTCAAGAGCATTTAACATCCTCCTTGCACATGGGTAAATGCCCCATGTGCTGTTAAATTCCAGGCATCTAATGGAACTGATATCACGGAGCTGGAGAAGCAATTAAATCGCGGTTGTCGTTGCAGAGTCTCAGTGGCCGATTGGGCTGTGATGATGGGAACACGAAGCCCTTGCAAGCGGGCTGCAGAAAAAGGTGGTTGGAAAAGAAGAATGAAACCCCACCTCGTTTTATTAGCTGGCTCTCGGCAGCTAACGAGAGGGGTCTATCACATCGGCACACTTGTCAAAATTTATAGGTGCTGCCTAAAGCTACCAAAATATTGACTGAGCTATCAAAACACGAGGGTTATTAACACAAAGACCTCCTCGCTTTGTAGAAAGCTAATTCTGGAGGACTGAGAGTACAGGGAATTGGCAGTCATGGCTACCACCTCTTGGATTCAGCAAAAATAAACAGCAGCGGAGGGGAGATGTCTTGGAATTAACATGACCTGACGTTGGCGAGATCAACCCTTCGGGGTGCAGGACGGATCTGGTTCCTATATAATCAGGTATGTCTGACCAGCATGCGAGGCCCGGGGCTGCACCCTGCTCTGTCCTGGGCTGAAATACTGACGGTGGGGAGGGATGTGGGGGGGAGCTGCTGGCGGCAATTACCGGGAGTTGAGGAGCAGCCTAACATTGCTAGTGATGAGCGAGCCGGTATCGGTAAGTAAGTGAACCCCTAAGGGGTTACTTTAGAGATGGGAGCGGGTGAGTGTGTTAAGGAAAGATACACCTTGTAAAATAAGGTGGTGAATTCAGCTGAAACACTGCAAACCGTCTTTGGGGTCAACCGTCAAGTTATCCTCTCACCTTCATTTTTTACTTTTTTTTGGGCCAGTTGAGCTTTTTGGAAAGTTTTCCCACAGAAAGGCACTTACTCAGTCCTCGAGTATATGCCCCTCTCCCGACATCCCCTTCTCACCCCCTTCAGTTCCATCCCCCCAGCAGAAACCAAATTTCAGCAGATGGAGCCGGCACCCGAAGTTTGTGTCTACGCTGTGAAATGGAAGAGGGCCGGCGGTGGGCCGCGGGCCTGGCAGCGCTGCCTGGCCGTGGGCCGGGTCCCCGGCCCGGGTGCTGCGGATGCTCTCCTGGGACGGGATCAGGCTCAGCTCTGGCATCCCTGGCCCCCATCCTCCCATCTGATCCCAGAGAGGGTTTGCAACAGAACACCCTCACGCCACCCTCGAGGGCATGCAAAACCCCCTTCCAGGTCATGCTGCGGAAACCTCTTGCTGGCAGGCTGCAACAGAGAGCTGCGGCTATTTTAAATACTGAAAAAAAAAAAAAAACAACAAAAAAACCAACACAAAAAATAGCAAGAATGGCTTTGCACTATATGGGATGCTGCACAGGGAACACAGAGCCAGCCTGGCGTTTGGCTTTGGGGCCGGAGGCTGTTCCCTGGCTCTCTTATTTAGCAATATATAAGCTAAATGCGCAGAAAAGGCTTTCAGGGAGCACTGTGCAGCATTCGGGGGAGCTCCCGCAGAACCCAGGCAGCCCGTGAGCTCCCCAAGCCCCTTGAAATCAGGCCGGCAAGCCGAGGGCTGGCCGGCAACCAGGGCGAAAGCTGCCTTCAGTGCTGCTCCCGACTGAGCACTTCCCACCGACAGCGAGGGCTGGGGCCGAGTAGCCGGGTCCAGCCAAGTCCCTGAGCAAGCCCACGGACAGATCACGTCACATCGATATTCAGTTCATGCGTGGAAAAGACATCTGAGAAGTATACTGGAAGCAGGGGTGCTGGTCCATGCTACACTTTCAATTTAATGGCAATATTCTGTTTTCTGTGAAACTTTTCTCAAAAGTAATACTTTTTCCTTCTCTTTTTTTTTTTTTTTTAAATTATTTTTTTATTTATTTAGCATCTTTTATTTTCCAGCAAGGAAAATAGCAGAAGGAGCGAGAGGCCAAACCAGGTAAATAAACCAAAATGCTTAAAAAGCTGTTCATGAATATTTTTTGTTTTAAAGCAAAATAAGTACGGAGTAAACCACTGAGCTTAATTAAATCCTTGCCTTTCCCTTGTTCTTAGTTTCTTATTCACATGCGACAAAACCTCGAGCCCACTTTTTTCATCAGCCTCATCCCAAAGCCTGGGCGTACCACCTGGAAATAGCTTCATGTCAGCACAATTCTTACTGGACTTGAGAGAATCCCTAACAGCAAATTGCCCCAACCATGGAAAAAACTCTTATCAGCACTTGCATATCATAGATACAGAAGAGACACAAATCCAGAGCGAATTTGGCTTTATTTTGTCCACTATTTGTAGTTTGGGTAGTTTCTCCCAAGTTTGATGCAATAGGTGGCAAACAGGCAGAGAAAGAAATGGGAATGACAGGATGAGAGATCACATATGGCTCAGGGAAAGGGACATAGCAGGAAAGGTGATAAATTGGTGAAAAAAAAGTAAACCAACCGAAAAATAAAATAAACTTACAGAAACGTGGAGGAGTTCCAGTAAAAGGGGAAAGAGAAACAAACTGGAAATGGCAGGCCATGATGAGGACAGTATATTTAGTTAAGCCACTGGCACTTTCCTCTGGTGGGAAAAGTGACAATTGCAGGGTTTAGGTCTTAATCCAACAAGGGAATTTCAACACAGGCGTATTTTTCAACGTGTGAGTAATCCTCACGATTTCAGTTCAGAAAGGTAGATCCCAGCTCGTTTCAAGCCTGTGGCCAGCATGGACCTCACTGTTAGAAAAAAAAAAAAAAAGATGTTCTGAACCTCTTTTAAGCCTCATATTTTATTTTTCCCCATGAAAAGATGTACATACCCAAATTTATTCAGATGAACAAGGACGTGGGGGAGGGTGCTGTGAGGTGGGGCAACAGGGTTTGAGGCTTCCTCAGGACTAAGACAAGTCTGCCTGGGGTGGCTGCTCTTGCTCCCGTTGCGTTTTGCTGAGAGCAGAGCCAGGGACCAAATCGGCACGGTGGAGACATTTCCAGCACGATGGAAAAATGCAAATGGCCAGCGGGACGTGGGTACCCAAGGCATCACATCCTCGGGAATGGGATTTGTGTGGTGCAGAGGATACAGAGCAGGGCACAGCTGCCTCCAGCCCAGGCTCTTGCAGCCTGTACGGAGCTTGGCTTGGGTGCAGAGGGATGCAGAAGAGCACAACCAAGGGTGAGCCTGGCTCTTGCATTCAGAGCTCAATCTATAATAACTATATTTTATATAACATAATATTATGATATTATAATAATTTGATGATTATGCCAAAATCCACTGTCTCCTCTTAAAAGCCAGCCCAGGCAGAGTTTCACATCAGGAATTTTATTCACTGGACTTTAGGGTGGTTTGGGGTGTGGGGGAGGCAGGATCACTAGTTTCTTCTGCACCCATCCTTACAAAAGACTCACAAAACCAAGAAACTTTTTGGACACTGAGAAACCAGCGATGCTTGGAGACAAACGCTCCGCTTGGGAGTGAGTTGTAACTTCCCAGGGACAGTCCTCCTCTCTCTCAGCGGAGAGACTTTTGGGTTGGTTTACTTTTTTTTCACCAATTTATCACCTTTCCTGCTATGTCCCTTTCCCTGAGCATATGTGATCTCTCATCCTGTCATTCCCATTTCTTTCTCTGTTTGCCACCTATTGCATCAAACTTGGGAGAAACTACCCAATTTTATCACTTGCTGCAAGCACTCCGGTCACCCCTGACACAGCAGAGCCCAACACGTGCTGCTCCTCCCCTCAGGTGCCAGCAACCTCCGTTGATCCCCAAACAGATTAACCATCATCCTCATCCCCCTCTCTCTGAGCTGGGTTTTGTATTGATAAACCCGCCGGGTGCTCAAACATCCACGGAGGGCTGCGCCTCCTCTTGCAGAGGCTGCTCATAGCCAACTCCACACTGCTCCAGAGCTTCAACATCCTCAGGAAATTTTAGGGAATTAGGACTCCTGGAGGGGCCTCCAGTTTCTTGATGTGGTGCGATTTCATGGAGAGATGATTCCTCTGCCGGACATCGGTGCAGCACTGGTAGACCCCAAGGAGAGCCCCAAACCTGGGAGAAATCACCATCTTCCTCGAAAAGGAGCGTATCTCATGGCACTGGCTCGGCAGAGAGACCTGCCTGTGTCAGCCTGACATCTTCTTGTTTAACAGGTCAATTTTTGAGCAAATAGACTCAGATAGGAAGAATTTGCCAGTGGGTTATTCCACTTCTTTCCATGGGATTGGCGTAAGCAATTTCCACAATGTTTCATAATGAAAAATTTCTTTTGGAAGATGGTTGAAACCAGTGAGATTTGGCCAGTCTGTACTCACCCTTTTATCAGTAGCATCATTAAGTCACTGAAACTGGTGTCTGATAAGGAGATCTGTTAACTGCGCTCCTACAAATATACATCAAATTGCATCTGAGTTTGCAAAACCTTCCAAGGAGAAATGAAGGAATACAAAGCAGATGGAGAAGAGAAATGACTGAAATGAAGCAGGTCAGGATGCTCCAAAAATATAGCAGCGCTGCAAAAAAAAAAAAAAAAAAAAAAGGGGAAGTGACTGGAGTCTCCTTTTAATTAGTTGAAAAAGTCCTCCCCACATTTATGTAAGCATTTTATGCTGTTTTAGGGGCTCTTTGCAAGAAGTATTTTACCATAGCTTGCTGCTACGGGGCTGAGAGCGGGAGCTCAGAAAAGAAAGCACCAGGTCGTCTCACGCCCCAGCCCTGAAATCTGGATTAAAGAGCAACGGTTTAAAAAGAGCAGGCAGAAGCAGCAGCATTATTTACAAGAGGCTTATCTCCAGTGGTGTGAGGTGTTGGTGACAGGGGTGGGAAATTTGGGCTAGAAATCCCCTCTAGCAACCCGCAGACATTTGCCTTTAGTCACCTTTGAGAGCAACTTCTTAACCTGCGGAGAAGGGATTGCTGGCTGCCCGTCTTGCCAAACTTACTCCATCACCTCTTCTTCCTCCTCTGACCGTTACTATTGGGTGAGGAGGAGCAAGGTGGGGGAGCAAATGGCATGGCCAGACTTCAGAAATCCTCCCCACCCCCACCCCCACCCCCCCCCCCCCCCGGAATCAAAGTCGGGCAGAGGCACAGACCTCAGACGCCCATTTATTTGGGGAAAAAGCATTTCCCCAGTGCCCCCGGGGCAGCTGCGAGAACAAGAACTAGAAGAATACGCTTCGCACGGCCGGGGCGAGGCGAGGCGGGCTGGTGGCTCGCTTGCCCCCCTCTTTCTCGCCGCGGCAGGCCGCAGCACATAGCGTGCCACCCGCTCGGCACCTCCCAGCCTCCCTCTCCCAGCTCCGGCTGTGCCCAGCCCGGCTGCTCGGCTCCGGGTGCCGCCGCAGCTCCCACTCCCGCCGCGGAGCCGAGCCGGGGAGGGCCATAATGACGCACCCGATCGGTATTAGAAGACTTCACCAGCTATTTATAGGCCCCCATCGACTGCAGAAGGCTCTCGGCCTCTCTTTTTCTCCCTCCCTCCGTCTTGCTCACTGGCTCTAGCTCAGCGCGGGAGGGGGAGCAAAAGAAATGCTGTAAATAAACCAAGCACGACATTCCTGAGCGTGGCAAAGTTTCTGCCCCTCCTCTATCGAAATCACCCGGTGGGTTCAGACTGAACAAATTATTTCTAGCACACCAGCTTTTCACTCTGGTGTTCTTTCCTCCCCAGCTTTGCAGCTTGGAATTTTTTTTTTTTTCCCCCTCTGTCTTTGCGCAGTTTCATTTTCCAGTTCCTGGCATTGGCTTGGCTATTCCTGAGCAGGGCTGGATAAAGCCCAGAGAGGGAGAGACCTCTCTACAGAGCTTGGCAAATTTCCCCAGCTCCTGCCAAGCGCCTCCCCGAGTGTCTCTTCCCATATCCAAGCTGAGCCCTGACCCTTATTTTGGCCCTTGACATCTTCCGATGCTCTCCTGACCTGGGGGGGGGGGGGCCGTTTACAGCTTCCATGCTCGCTCTTCGGACAGAGCCACCGACCCAGCACCCTTGTCACCCACACGTCCCTCCAGCCCCTACCCGGTTCCCGTGCCACCGGGTGAGTTGACGAGGACCGAGCCGAGCCGCGGATGGAAACGGTAGCCGTGCGTCGATCCCGGGCACTCCTTCAGCGTGGCTAACCACAGCGGTAAGTGTTGAAGCGGCGTTGCAGGAGCACATTCTGCCCCAGCTCAGGGCGAAGGCAGCCTTTGGAAACAGGAGGAAAAAAAATCAGTACACCTGGATATGGACAGGGAGGTGAAAACAATGAATAGTGCCCACAGCAAAGGCGTTGCTGGAGAAGGAAAGCCATTTATAATCACTTCAGTGAAGTGAAAAATAGAGGTCACTGGAGGTGCGCATCCATTCTTTTTTTAACAAAACAATGCTGATTTTCACAATATTTATTGTCAGAAGCATTTCTAACAGAAACACTCCCACCTGCATTCAGGCCCTCTGGTCTACAGCAGAGGTAAGAAAGGACAACTGTGGGAATTAAATCTGTAGCAAGACATTTTCCTTCTGCTTTCACGTTGGATTAACCATTGCCCTACCTGAGAGACTCTGTTCCTTGCAGCTCCATCAGCACCGAAGAGATAAAGCAATCAAAGGGTGGGAGTGTCTTTTTGGGAGAGATGAGTCTTATCCTTAAGTAAATCACTTTACCTCTCTTGCTTTTGTATGGGGCCCTGCTCCATGCTTATCTATTCGGACTTGCAGACTCCGGGGATGTCTGGGGCTGCTGGGGGGAGTAGAACACCAACCCCATCCCCACCCCCAGGGGGTTTGAGGCTTGCAGCAATGCCGGGAAACAACTAACAGGGCCTGGGTCTTTCTCCTTGGAGAGGAACCCCATACCCGACTGCAAACAGCTAGTCCCAAAGCTAATGTATTATGCTTTAAAAAATTCTCCTTCTTTTCAGAAAATAGCCTATTGAAAAAGGACACAGATAATTTGAGAACTATAAATGAACTCGGGGATGGTTCTTAACATTTGGCCTCAAACCAAGAGCATGTCACCTTCTCCTGACAAGCTCATCCCTTCACAACTTTCTAATTATGTTTTGAAACCTCAACGTGCATGAAGCTCTTGCTAAAGATGTCTTACTGGGAGCTGTGTCGTGACATGCTCTTATGGGCTATGCTGGACTGGGTCTGAAAACCAGGTAAGAGAAAGAAAATCCTTATTACCACTACGCAGCTCCTTTAGAGGTCTCACAAAATTACATTTGCTGTCCCTGCTAAGGTGAGCAGGCTGTCACTGAATAAAAACAAGTTGATGGAAAGGGGATGGGAAGCGTCCTGGCCCAGGGAAAGCACCCCTTCCCACCTGACCGTGCCGGAGGGTGCATAGTGTGATACTGAAAAGCCACGTAACCTGTCGTCCTCCCTCCTCACAGCACCCCTCTGCAGAGCTGAAAGCCTAGAGACCCTTTTCCAGAGGCGGATCAGTGCGTCCAGGCTCCCCTTGGATTGCCTCCTGCACCTACGGACTGCCCTGGGCACGCCGAACGCCGTGCCACGACTGACAGCCAGGACACCTGGGTTTTGCGTCCTTCTTAACTTGGAGATGCTCCAGCCCAGCCCTGAGAACTGCATGGGCACCCTGGAAATGTGGGATAAGCCGGTAAAATTTCAGGATGCTTCTGGAAGGCTGTTTTAAAAGCAGATCAGAACCGACAGCCTACACAGAAAAATCATGTTTTCTTCTCCAGTTCTTGGTTCTTCAGTTTTGGAGAGGCACATTCATAAACCATAAAAGCAAATTATTCCTCCACCGACACAGAGCCAGCCGCGACCTTTCTGCAGCATAATTAAAATGTAAGAGCACTTTGCCAGATTGCCATATGTTTAAAATTGTTCCTTTCATTTATACTCCACTTTCTGCCAGCACCAATGTGTGAGGAATTGGTGGTCGTGGCTCACAATAAACGTATGGTAGTTCTCTTATGATAAAATCCTGATTTTGAGGGACTTGCAACTTGACCTGGACAAACACCTCATAGGATATCATTTACTCTTTAATTCAGCATGCTGGTCCGCATGCAGCTTAGTTTTCTCAAACCTTTGTGTTTGAAATTTTCTCACCGGCTATTTACTACAACTAAATCTTCTTCTCATGGACCACAAGAAAGTATCCCTGCTACAAGTGCTTGACGCCTGGCATTTGACAGAGTAATTGTGCTTGGTATATTGCTATTATTTATTATATTTTTATCAGTGTTCCCGTTCTGCCACTCCATTCCTAAGCAGTAAAAACCATATGGCCTCTGCCCCGCACGGGCTGCAGTCAGATGACAACTGGCATTGCAGCTAATCTTAATGCTTCTAGCACATTTGGCTGTGGAAGTTTGCAAATAAATACCCGCAGGCATTTAAAAGGCCAGTGTAAAACTTCTGGTAGTTTCTACGATAAACTTAGATGGAAAAAAATATAAAGAACATATTTAAACTGTGGTTCAGACTTTGGACTTAAGAGTGAAACGTTCAGTACTGTATTTTAATATAATAAATGTCACGTGGTTTCTGGTAATGGAATAATACAAGCGACTCAGCCCATGATCAGAAATGTTTGCAAACCAGGCAATGAAGCTGTTTGAACAGAAGTACTTACAAGGTATTAGTGAAGTAACGTGAGTTTTTAAAATTACATGAAAAGTTGGTGTTTGACAGTGCTGTGCGGGGGCACGGTGACACCAGACAGCTGAAAGCGTTAACACACATGTAAATGTCATGCTTTTGGGATAAAAACCATTTACAGATTTTTTTTTTTTTTTTCCTTTAAGTAGAGGAGGGTTTGTTTTCTTGAAACAAGAGCTCTGGATCTTCTCCCTTGATCATTTGCTAAGAGAAGGAATTGGGAACATGATGCTGAACTGCTGGAGCACGCACATTAGCCTGTTTATGTGATGGTAGTAATGACGTTAAACTTAAATCTGTCTTTTCAGCTGCACAGTGCTACCGTATGTCCTGTAATAAAGCTGATAATTTTCATATAACTATTTAGAAAGATGAACTTCATTTAAGAAAAGCAAGTATTTTACGCTGGTATACTTTTGCTCCCAGTTCTATCTAACAATCGCCAACAGAGAAAGAAAAAAATGTATCTGAAGATCTAAGTGAAATGTTTAAAATGGCAATTGACTGCATCTCAGCACACAGTACTGTTATTTCTTTGGTAAATTCAGATGGTCTCCAAGAATCTATAAGCCTGTTGCAGCTGGACAGTGTTTATAGACATATGGCAGAGGATGGTTTTCAAAGGAATTTAAATATTGCAGGGAGAGGTTTTATATTCCAGGGCCCCAAGTTTGCTTTGTGATAGCGGTTTACTTTCACTGTTGCTCAAGAAAGGAGCCCTCTGTTCAGAGGGAAATGCAGAAGGTGTGAAGAGAACAAATAAAATGTTACATTTTCCAACCCTGGCATAGCAGAGGAATAGGAAGCAGCATGGCAGAAAACGAGAAGAGACTGGATAAACAGGAGAGATAAACGACCTGAACAAATCAGACATACAATACTGGTTTGCATTCCCTGAGTCGATGAACATAAATTAACACTCAGTAAGATGACTGTGTTTTTGAGATAAAATTTTGCTTTCCATGAATACCCTCTAAAATGGGCTTAAAATTCTTTCCATAAACATTTCTAGCTGCTAATCTAATTGACTGGAATGTTTTCAAAAAGCAAACACAGCTGAAAGAAATTCACTGCTTTTATCCACATATAAGTGAGCATTTGCAGGTTTTTAAAGGTATTCCCTGAGGCCAATAACTAACTAAACCACCTTATTTTGTAAACAACTATAGAGCAGTAAAAAAGGCAGGCTCTGAGGTCTTTCCCTGAAACTATCTACCAAATCATCTTGATTACACTCAAAAGAATATTTTTAGCAAGCATTCTCTTGAACACAATACACACCTTCTTACACTCCCTGGAAGATGTCGCTGAAGGTGAAGTCTACCTCACCAGGGCACCTGCATGGGGATCAGATATTTCTGATGGCTTAAAATGCACCTGGGTGCAAGCAGGGAGGGATCAGGCCCCTCTTGCCAGGCCCTGATTTGATTTGGGTTTGGAAACCTCAAATTCATGGGCGGCAGGGGAATTACTCCCCATTTGCAAGGGTGGGAGAGCTGCACCGAGCTCCTGGGACCTGCTCTGGCTACAGGCACACTACACACCTTGAGCAGACCTGGTTTCACGAGCTCCTTTTACTTCAGGTTTTGTGGTTTCTTTCTCTCTAACGACTTCTGTAGCAGTTGTGGTGGGTTGACCCCAGCTGGACCCCTGGTGCCCGCTGAAGCCGCTCTGTCACTCCCCATCTCAACTGGACAGGGGAGAGAAAATAAAACGAAAGGCTCATGGGTCGGGATAAGGACAGGGAGATCACTCGGCAGTTACTGTCTCGGGCAAAACAGACTCCACTTGGGGCAATCAGTTTCGTTTATTATCAATCACATCAGAGTAGGATAATGAAAAATAAAACCAGATCTTAAAACACCTTCCCCCTCACCCCTCCCTTCTTCCTGGGCTTAACTCTACTCCCATTCTCTCCCTGCTCCCCTCCAGCAGCGCAGGGGGACGGGGAATGGGCGCTGGGGTCAGTCCATCACACGCTGCCTCTGCTGCTCCTGCCCCTGCCGGGGGAGGATTCCTCACACTCTCCCCCCCGTCCCAGCGTGGGGTCCCTCCCACGGGAGACCGTCCTCCCCCGACTCCTCTGATGCGAGTCCTTCCCACGGGCTGCAGTCCTTCCCGAACTGCTCCGGCGTGGGCTTCCCACGGGGTCCCTTCGGGCACCCCCCTGCTCCGGCGTGGGGTCCCCCCCGGGCTGCCGGTGGGCACCTGCTCGGCCGTGGCGCCCCCTGGGTGCGGGGCACAGCCGGCCTCGCCGTGGGCTTCCCCACGGGCTGCAGGGGAACCTGCTCTGGGCCCCGAGCACCTCCTCCCCGCCTTCCCCCTGGCCTTGGGCGCTGCAGGGCTGTTTCTCTCACAGTCTCACTCCTCTCCCCACTAACTTTCCAGTTTGGTTTTGTTTGTGTTGTTTTGTTGTTTTGTTTTTTTTTTTCTTTCTCCCCCACTTTTAAATATATTATCCCAGAGGCGCCGTCAGCACCGCTGCCGGGCTCGGCCTTGGCCAGCCGTGGGTCCGTCTTGGCGCCGGGTGGCATTGGCTTCATCAGACGTGGGGGAAGCTTCTGGCAGCTTCTCACAGAAGCCGCCCCTGAACCCCCCCGCTACCAAAACCTTGTCACGCAAACCCCATACAAGCAGCAGCTGTGGAAACCTTCAGGTAAAGCCAGAGCCAAAGCCAAGACGCGTGACCTTCCTCCAGTCTTGCACCAGAAACAAATTATGGAGGGCAAGCTACTGCATTTCCAAGCCATAGACAACAACTATCTCTGCTGAGCGGATCCTTGTCTAAGCAGCAGTAGTTTAACTGCAGTTCTGAAGCAGTTTGGTAAAAATGCTGTAATTTCTAAACCCAGTCTAACTGAAGAGTAGCTTGGCTCAGTTCAGCTGAAGCCAAACGTGCTCCTAAACAACTGACCCTGAACAACCAAACTCATAAAAACGAAAATAAACCACCCCAAACAAAAATCACCTTCAGCAGCTGGCCGTGTTTTCAAACTTTTCTCTGTTACTGTGAAATTGAGATTTTAAAAGTAAAAGCCGAGATCTTAATATAATTGCTTCCTCACCAGCGCTGGCCCTGAAGAAAAACTGCTGTATATTGGGAAAGCTGCAGCACTGCGATGATATGAAATATTACCTCGGCTGCTGTCCCCAGGAGCGCGCGCGCGAAGCCCCCGTAGTGGGTTGCAGCAGTGGAGCAGGATGATTGCTCACAGACTTTCACCCGCCAGAAGCCATCGCGCCCAAATTCACGAGCTCAACTTCTGTCTCAATCCTGTTAGAATACTGCTGTTAAAGAAGGTGCAACTACAAAATGACAATGTACCCTGAAATTCCCTTTCAGTTCTTTGAAGAGGGTGTGTGAAAAAAAAAAAAAAAATCTCCATCATTAAATGGTGAATGCTCTGTTCTACATTTGTCAAATTGCACAGAATCTGATGCAAAGCCCTCTTCTGTTTAGTGTTCAGAACCTGCTAAGCATGAATCACTGTGTAAGCACTGCTGAAGGCTGCAGAACCTTGCAAGTGTTTTAACCTCTTAATATGGCAGGGAAAAAAAAAAGATGACGGATCTTAAAATTCTCTGCTTTTGCTATCAATTCAAATATGGGGATCACTGATAAAAATCCTTCGTTATTTCCAACGATTAGCTGGAATGAATCCCTTGCGCCAAGGTAACCGTCTTGGGTTTCAATGGAAACAGGTCTGTGCCAAACAAAATGCACGTCCGTATTCATAAATTTTAAGGCAAACAGCCAATCACTCAGAAGAGGAGCAAAATGCAGTATGCGTAAAAGAAAATGCAATAAAAGAACAATAGGGTGGATTCAGTTTATTCTAATCCAAGAGCAGTTAAAGCAAGAGCATTTGCAATAGCAGAGCTCAGCAGATTCCAACAGGAAAGGAAATATTAGTCAACAAATCCTTAAGGTTTTACGAACGCACCATTCAGGATGGGGAAGCCTTCAGATGCTCTCAAAGGAGACTGAAGAAACAGGGAAGATCGGGTAGCTATTAAACAACGCTATTTTCCCAATATTCTCTTAGAATTGAAAGATTTAGGGCTTTATACAGCTGAGGAGCAGAGCAATGCTACTGCCCAAGGAATTCTGCATGTAAGAAACTCCCTGGAGCCTCAGCACGATGCAGAAGGTGTTGGGAGAAACCCGAAAGGCATTAAGCCAGGTATGTTTCATAGTGTTTAGGGATAGAATTGAAACATAAAATATATTTATAAAATTATAGCTAATTTCTCAAAATTCACTGTATGCCAATGATAGATGCTCAGGAAAGGCTAAGATCCTACTTCTGCTCTTTGATGAAAAAACAAAAAAAAGAGAAAAATCCCACTCAAACCCTGCTAAATCTGTACGTCACTATTTTTTTTTTCCTTTTTTTTTTTTTCCTGACATGATGGCCTTGCTGGTCCTATTTGTCTTTCATATTAGAGCAATTTGAGTACTGTCCGTCCTGGATTTCTTGAAAGATGCTACTGACTACAGGACAGCTGGCAGGATGATGCCTTAGATGCCAAGAGGCAACTCTGAAGGCCATTTTTTTGGTGTGCAATTTAACTCTCCTGCTTCAAAGGAGGAACTGTGAAATCTTCACTCCAGCTCCCTGGATCTTGATAAAAGCAAGCAGGAGAAAACTGTAATTAGTCCCACTATTTCTAAAGTGAAAAACAAGAACAAATTACTGCAGGTTATAGTTTTTCAGCTCTTCAATTACTGAGGATGCCAAAATAAGGAAAAAAAAATAATCTGTATTTATAGCACTCTGTCCAGGGAACAAGTTTTTAAAGCAAACAAAACTGTATTTTTGCAGCCTGGGAAAATGCCAATGTAGTCCCTTATTCTGATAGCGTTATCTCATTATCTTACAGAACTCTATCGCCTATTTTATGCTTTTACTGCAAAAAAAGCAGGTCTTAGTTTAAGAGTTTGTATGTAGAGATGAAGAGGTGAAACACAATTTGAGGATCTCACTTCCTTCACCGGGACTAAATTTTTGGTAAGGGTCCAGCATTTGTTGGAAACTCCTAGTGGGCATTACTTCCCTTCTCTACCCCAAATAAATTCCTCCAATATTAATAATTGGTGAAAACAACATTGCTTTTTTACACCACTGATACTGCTCCCGTCTGTCAATTCCCCTCCAGCAGCACGAGAGGAATTGTGCTTTGTAATGCAGCCTTCAATGCTATTACTTTTATTTTTTCATTCATCTGGCCAAATTTTGGCATCATACCAGAACCTTAGATGCGCGCTTTGTTCTCTAAAAATTTGGCAGAAGAAAAAAAAAAAAAAAAAAAAAAAAGGTTGGGGAGGGAGGTGGAAATAATTCAGACCTTGAGCCGTGACACCTGTCAAACACAAGCAAACCCTAACTTCCCACTTCCAAACCCTGGTGGCTCCTCTGGGGCTGAGGGAAGCCGAAGCTTTCCCAGCCGAGCTGGATGCAATCAGCCCCCCCTTCAGGCATTTTACCTCACACCCGGCGCCCGGCCAGCCCTTCCCCGCCCGGTGCCAGCGGGGCCGCCCCGGCTTCCCCCGGAGCAGGCCCCAGCTCCGGTCTCTTTCCTCCCGCGGGAAGCGGCCTTGGCTTCGCCGCGTTGGCCCGGGGCGAGCCCCTCTCCACCCCGGACATCTCCCGGCCGCCGGCCCCCGCTCGGTAACCTCCCTCACTGAGGTAACCCCCGCCTCAACCGGCTCGGTAACCCCACTCACTGAGGTAACCCCCGCCTCAGCCGGCTCGGTAACCCCACTCACTGAGGTAACCCCCGCCTCAGCCGGCTCGGTGCCCACCCCCGCCGCTCGCTGAGGTAACCCCCCCGCCCTCACACCGGTGCCGCCCCGGCGCCCTCGGGGTCGGCTGGCAGCCCGCGCCCCTCCCCCGGGCCGGGCCGCCCGCCGGCTCCAGTCACGCTCCCTCCCCCGCCCTCCGCTCCCTGCGTGACCACCTCCCCGCCGAGGGGGCGGGAGAAGGCCCTCCGCCCACCTCCCTCCCTCCCTCCCTCTTTCCCCGCCCCCTTTTGATTGGGCCGGGCCGGGCCGCCCATCAACCCAACCCGCCGTGCTGGTTGGCCGCGGTCGGCAGGCCAAGGGCGCCGCTCCCGCCCCCCGGGGAGGGGGGTGGTGGGGTGTCCCTCCAGCCCTCCCCAACACTTCGCGGCAGTGTCCTCAGAAGACTCGTTGGGCCGAAGGGGCCGCTCCAGCGCTGGCGGCGGACCCGCGCGCCCATTGGCCGGCCGCCGCGCCAATCCGCCGCGCCGCCGCGCCCCGTAGGCTGGCGGGGCGCCCGGGGGGCGGGGCGGCCTCTTTCCCCCCCCCCCCCCCCCGCTCTCCCCCCTCCGCCTCCTCTCCCCGGTCCCGCCCTGTGACTAACTCCCGTGTGTGAGTCACGGCGCGGCCCGTCAGCGCCGTTAAATGCCGTGTGCGGGCGGGCGGCGCTGCCTGGGCTGCCCCGGCCCCCTGCGTGCGGGCGGCCGCCTCCCCCGCCTCCTCCCCCGGTACATGGCTGGCGGGCCGTACTTGTCACGGTGTCACATCCTCCCCGCCGGCTGCGGCCCCAACTTCCCCCCCAGCTCGGCTGCCGCCGCCGCCCGGGGCCACCGCAGCGGCATGGGATAGAGCACAGCCGCCTCATCGCCTGGCCGCCGCCTCCGTCGCGCAGCCCGGCGCCTCGCCGCACGCTCATTTTAATTTAATTCCCTTTCTCCTGTTTAAATTCCTCACCCCTGTCCTTCCTCCCCCCCCCCCCCCCCCCCCGCCTTTTCACACACCGTCCCCTCTTTTCCGTTGACACCCGCCCCCCGACCCCATTTAGCCGCCCCTACCCGTTCCCCTCAGCGCCTCCCTCAACGGTCCTCGCCGCGGAGTCCCCCGGAGCGGGTGAGTGCCGGGCACGGCCTTCCCGGGCTCGCTCCTTTCTGCCTGCCGGGGCTGGGGAGGGGGGCCCGGGGGGTGGGAGGGGAGGGGGTGGGCGGTGGGCTGGGGCAGCCCCCGGGTGTCCGGGGAGGCGGCGGGGCGGGAGGGGGGAGCGCGGCGGCGGAGCCCGGTGCCTCCGCTGGCTGCCAACTGTTTGAAAGTTGGGGGCATTCGCCTCAGCGCAGCCTGGCACCGGCCGGGGAGGGACTTTCTCCCTTGGATTGGAAAAGAAGGAGAGGAAAAAAAAATTTTTAAAGAAATATAAAAGCCCGGCGTCGTTGCCAACTACAAATGCGTGTCAAGCTGCTGATGACATATTTGATTGTAATTTTATTTTATTTATTTTTCCCTCCTCCCCGCTTGGGACCGCAGTTGAGGGTGTGGGGAAGGTTGATGTGAGGGACAAGGGGGCTCCCAAAAGCCCCCCCTCAGGTCGAGTGGTGGGCCAGACCGCTCTGGATCAGGCTCTGGCCACAGTCCTTCCTAGAAAACCAGGGAAACGCACCTTTTTTTATTTCCAGGTGCACCATCTTCCCCACCCTGTCGTGCCTGGATGTTTCGGTATTACCTGGGCTTGACTTGGCGTGGCAGGAAAATGCGTGTATCGTAGGGTGAAGCCATGGTCCGCAGTGAGGAATTTTGGTGGCTTGGCTTGATACTGGGAGCACTTAATGTAAAATGGTTGTGTCTCTATTTCATTGCTATTGATTTTTATTTTTTTTTTCTTCCTTAATATATTTTTAGAAACGTGAATGTGGTGTACGTTCTCATGTGCCGTATGTTCAGAGTAGCTAAAATAAAACAGATAGATGGAAAAGCCCAGCAACTACAGCAGCATCTCCATACACAGGGTGTCAGAAGCCTTAGTACTTTGCTGGGTTTGGTTATTAATATTAATTGCTTGATCTTTGTAATTCATATCGTATGGAAACTAATTGCTGAATTGAAGATTTACCAAACCTCATCGCGCTTCAAAATGATCTTTCTCAGACATCTGAAAAATAAATCTACTGAACTTCTGTTAAGAGGAAAGGCCAGCATCATTCTGAGAATCCTCCACTACAAGTTTATTTTTTCAAGGCAAGCACTCTTGTAAATAAGTAATAGTGAAGTATGGCTTTAGTCAGTGACTACTTAAGTATGCTTGAGATCGGTGAATTTCTAGAGGAAATTAAGTCTTCAACAAATCTTGTATTCCTTCTATCTCTAAAGAGAGCCAGGAAAACAAACACAATCAGCTCTGGCATTGATACCAAATAGAAAATCAGTCCTTATCCCAAGGAGTAGCTTGCCCAACATAACCCAAAAGCTTCCTGGTATTTTGCCTTTATCGAGGGTCCTTGAGTTGTGGTCTCTTAAATCAATATGAAGTGGGCCTGCTTCTCCTCTGGTACTGGTTTAGTACCAGTTAATTTCATTAACTTTAATGGAGTGGATTTGCATTAATGTGAAAAGTAATCAAGAAATCCATGTTTTCAGAAAGGCCCCTGTAGTAGTGACGTGACCAGCTGTGATTCCTTCTCTCATCAGACACAATTACGCCACCCTTACTCATGCTGAGTGGTACTTTACTGCGCAAGTGCTCCCTGCGATGCTTGTATGACTACTTGTGTACTAGTACCAATCTGGGTGAGGTAGAGTGGCGCTTATTTTTTCGTAACTAATTTTTTTTTTTTTTCCTTCCGTTGAAATAAGAATATATTGGATAACTGTTTTTCTTGGGTTGTGAGGAAAGCTTCAGAGGATTAACTGTAAAGCTGCTCTGTTAAGTGACCGTACCAAAAAAAACCCTGTTTAAGACTTCTGTGCTTCCAGTGAAACAGGCAGGTAAGTTTCCTGTGTGTTTAGCTTTCCCTTGTTGCTACGGAAAGTCGGAAAAAGACTGTTGAAAAATTCATTATCTTCTCCTGCAATTCCTCTATGCCTGAGGTTATCCATACCTACATTGGGTGTTCAAGTTGGAGTTGTTTTGCTTGTTTGTTTGTTTTTTTCCCCCCCTTCCTCTCCTTCTCCAGAACCCCTCCAAACATTCACATTGCACTGTTTAAATGTTTGCTATTGAAATCACTGGCAGCAGGATCAGGCCCTCAGTTGTTTTTGTATAAAGCAGTTGATAATGGCTTGGATATGATGTTGTAGAAAGATAGTATTATCTGGTGTGTCCACAGCTCAGATCCACTGTCTTATTACAATCTCAGAAGAAAGCTCTGTATTAAGCAGCCTGTAAAGAAAATATGTGTAACAGAGCAGAACTGTCTTCTGCCTTTGTGTTCTTACTTGTAAATCTCTTGAAAGTTTGCTTGATACTCTTTCAGAACAAGACACAATTCTTTCATGTTTGTTTCATGTTTTCACTTCCTTGTATGACTGTGTTCATTGCGAAGCTTTTGTGTCACTGATTGAGATGTTATTGTAATTAACATTAATTATGCAAACTAGATTGTTTTTAGAGGCTCTCCAACTCTGTATTGATACTGTCAACTTGTTTGTTGAACAAAAATCCACACATTTCACCATTCTCAGAGAAAATAGATTAACCAGTTCCAAATTAATATATGCGTGGGAAACCATAGCAAAATTAAGCTATTTTAGCTCAAACAGCACATGGAATCTTGATTGAGATGGTGAATACGGTACAGTTGGATCTGAAATATCAAGGCAGGGTAAATGGGGCGAGCGAGAAAGAGGACTAGGTACAGCCATTTGGAGAGGGTGTTTATACTGCACCATTCCACCACATTCTTTTCAGATAGACAGTATTAGATTAATTGGGCCAAATTCTGCAGTCCCTAATTGAACAAAACTCTCACTGAAGTTCTCACTGAAGTGTACTGGAGCTGTCTGCTTGGTTGTGGACTGCTGAATTTGTTTGAGAAATGGAGAAAAATGGCAGAGGTTACTTCATTAATTATTTAGGACATTTTGGATTTTAGGCTCGGATAAGGTATCTTCCTTTAATTTGGTTTAGGTGATCCACGTTTTTTTTTTTTGTTGTTGTTGGGTTTTTTTTGTTTTGTTTTGTTTTTGTTTTTTGTTTTTTTAAGAAAAACTTATCCAAAATATATTTGAAATATACATTTACTAATAAAATATTCCGTGTAGCAATGGTAACATTTTACATTTTTTTTTTATAATGTTAATTATAGTGACATTCACAAAAGTCTCTGTCTGATTCAGAATCACTCCCTTAAAACAATTCTTAGCTGAGAAGGACTTCAGAATCTCTCCCTAGAAATTGTAGTTGTTGCAATATTTATATGTTGTATTGTTGTGTACTCTCAGGAAGAAAAAAAAAATAGTTGTGGGGAGAAGAGTTTAAATGAGAATTTGTTGTCATGATATCAAATCTGAAAATACATGCAGACTGGCATATTATTCCCTGTTTTAAAAATTAAGTCTCTCTAATTTCCCATTTAAATAAGCAAAATCTGGTTTGCAGTTTGCTTTGGGTAATGAAGGAGAGGGGTTTTTTTGTTTCTACTTTCAGTGCAGTGGTCCTCTGGAAAGTTAGAAACAACGCCCTGGGGCTCAGAAAAGTGGAGGGTGTATAATTATATGGGAAGGCTCCATAGCATCAGTGAATTAGCATTAGCAGCTGAGTGAGTTTGTTAAGCTGTAGAGATGGTGTTATGGAAATCAATAAAATGCTGATTTCTTTTTTCTTATTGCAGATTCTGTGTTAAAAGGAGATGATGCTATTTGTTTGTCTACCTTCCATGTAGGCTTGCCAAACCGTTAGTTGATTTGGAAAGGCAGGTTTTTCAGTTCAGACAATAAGTAGTTAGATTTGTTTTATTTTTTAACTCTCTTAAATCTTTATTTATTATATTGTCTCCTAGAAATCACACTAACATCCTGGCCTGCAAGTGGCTTCAAGTGTGTCTTTGTCAGCAGAGGCAAGAGTGAAGGCCACTTATTTTTCTTATGACATGCTGGTGTGGCATTGTTTGTTGCAGCTTAAATGCTGTATGTTCCTGTCATCCCTATTTCTGCTTTAAATTAAATTATCTCGAGTGTTTGGAGGGTTCTGATGAGATGTACTGAAATCCATGATAAAAATAAAAGAGAGATAGTGACCTCAACTGTTTTCAGAGACGTGAATCGGGAGGGCTGATATTAATCACTGTAAGATCCGTAATATGCATTGGCCTTTATTTCTTTGTCTCAAAGCTTCTCCTGCTTCTATACCAGAAAGACAAGTAACCAGATCATTCATCATATTAAGCGCTTACAGAGAAATGACAGATCGACAGCCTTATGTTGAGCACTGTGTAACATGTATGAAGCATTAAGTTCTGATGATCTATATAGAACATTTTAATTGGGAGGAACAGTAAATGGGAACTGCTGTCTTCTAATCCAAGGACTTTGTGTTTTTTTTTTTCTTCTTCCTGACTGAAATTAAACTGAAGTTCATAATCAAATTATTTTATTTTAAAATAGATGTATGCTGTGATGCTTGATAAAATACCCTGAAACCTTTTATTCAAGCTAAGATACACTAAGGGCTGCGGGGCGACCTGGGAAACCTGTCTGCCTTAGTGGTGGATGGCATAACTGATGGTAATCCGGTGGACTTCATGGAGGTAGGAAGGTCCAACTCAGCAGCTTCTTCAGGGACGCGGCAGCGAGCATCTGTTTTATGACATGAGCAGTGTACGTACAGAGTTCAGATATCGTGAGGTGTGCGGAGCATGTTCTTGTATGAATAGAAACAGTTCAAAATGCCGGATTTATGGTGCAGGCAACAGTAAAGGTCAGCAACTTGGAAAATTAATAACATGGTTCGTGTTGACATTTCGGAGGGAATTCTGATGGGGGCGTGGTTCCAGCGAATGTAAACTTGCCGGTCCGGCTGTACAGATAAAATAGGCAGCCTTTCTCTTATCTCTTTGGTAACCCAAACCTTTTTACTGAGAAACTGGCAAAATTATGTTTATATTCACCCTGTGCTTTATTGTTTC